TCTTCTTCTTCTTCTTCTTTTTTTTCTCTCTCCTTTTTCCGTAAGGGGGAGAGCTACGAAAAAGAGAGAGAGGAGAGAGAGAGATTAGAGAATCTTTTCTTTTCTTTTTTTTTTTTCAAGAAAAAAAGTTAAATTCATTAGAGGCTGACAATATCGTACGATGTGACTATTTCACCATCGACGGCAGAGGAAAGCTCGTACGGGGGGGGTTTTTGGAAATTTGAGAGTGAGGCTGTACCGGTAATTGAAATGGAAATTGAAATTGAAATTGGAATTGGAATTGAACCCCGGCCCTCTGCTTGCGAGACGACGACGACCTGCAGTCCCCCCGCGCTTCTTCCTATCTGTGTCTGGTGGGGCTTCAAGGGGTGGACCTGCTCGATAAGGTAGGTGCTTTTCTACTACTACCTAGTACTACGTACTACGTAGTATGTGTTTATGAACCTTCAGGGGGTCGGGGGGTGGAGGACCTAGGGGGGGTTGTTTTTGTTTTTTTTTTTTTTTTTATTAAGAGGGGGGATAGGTAGGTAAAGGTAAAGGTAGGTAGTGAATACCTACCTACCTACCTACCTAACAGTATGGATTGGCGAAATCCTCGATCGAAAGAAAAGTCAACGTACACGTCCCTCGAGATTCGAATGCCGAGTCTGAATGAATGAAAGATATAAAGAAGAAGAAGAGGTTAGAGTTGCTGATTGCTTTCTTTCATCTTACCCGTGTTCGGATCGAAAGCGTCTTCTGTTCTGTTTGGGCACCGTATCGTGCAGCAAGCAGCTTTTTCTCTGCGTGGCTCGGTCCCTACCTACCGTTGGCTAATATCCGATATCCCGTCTCTTGAGCATCGAGACCGAGGACGGAAAAGAAAAGAAAAAAAAGGTAAACTTTATACCGGATTCTTTTCGAATAGACGTAGTATGAGGGAGGAATGCAGCTATCCCGTTGACAGACAGACCAAGTGCTAACTACTACGTACCTACCTAGGTACTCCGCAAGTGATATCACTCTTAAGCCTTCCCAAGAACCTAGGGCCTTATTGGCATCCAGTACCGTATACCTATCCCGTCCCAGTTCCTTCCCCAAGGTCTTACACGCTCCACTTTTTACACTCACGATCTTTTTCTAATAGTAGTAGTTGCAGATGGCTCTTGATTCGAAGCCCGACGGAGATTACACGTCTAATAATAAGGTGTGGATCTCGCGACGTGCAACAACAAGAACAGGAACAAGAACAGGAGCAACAACAACAACAACAACAACAACAACAACAACAATAACAATACTGCCTAGCCAGGTCGGGAAGCCAATTTTTTCTCTAGCGAGGTGTCCGTACATTTAGTTTATTGATTCGGTACGCCGACCCCCCATCCCCCATCCCCCATCCCCCCCTTTTCTTCCCGCTCATCCTCGAGACAGAGTTCTCAGGCTGATCGTCCGACATACTACTTACTTACTAGGTACCGTAGGTAGCCAGCCATCCACCTCCCTAAATGGGAACTCTGCAAACATCTCCAGACTCTTTTCCTCCCACGTACAGTATACTACTGCACCTACTACCTACCTACCTACGTACCATTTATTGCATGTCCATGTCCATGTACCTACCTAGGTACCGGTATGCATGCATGCGCATCACAAGCAGAAAGCAGTCCCTAAGGTCAGGTAGGTATCAACAACAAGCCCCCAGGCTTGCACCTTCCCACCGCGCAGTGCCTTCCCTGGCCGGGCCTCTCCTCCTATTCTTCTTCCAGGCGGGAAAAAAATCAATCTTAAAAAAATCAATCTTAAAAAAATCAATCTTAAAAAAAAAAAAGAAGAAAAAAAAAAGAAGCGTGTGGCATGCATCCTCACTCATCCTCGACTTCCGTATGCTATTGAAAAGGGGTTGCAGAACCCTTCGTGCTGAAAGGCTGTGATTGAATACTATTACTACTACTACTACTACTACTACTGTACTTACTACTACTCCTACTGTACTTACTACGTACTATTTCCGCTTAGCAGCTGTGATGGCACGTTGGATCTCTGATTACCTCTTCCGCACTAGCCTGGCAAGCCGGGCTGAGAATCTGTGTACATCGATCGCAGTGGTGTGGTGCGAACGCTTCGCCACATTTCTCCGAATTCAAGAACGAGCTGAGCTTACCCCTGGGGCTCTGATATACTACGTACATCCACCGGCAGCGTTGCCGCTCTAGCCGTAGCGATCGATGACTTTGTCAATAATAAACCTTCTTTGCTCCTTACTAGCAGTAGAGACCACTGAAGCTTATTTGCAAGATGGAGCGAACTGTGGTGTAGGTACCGGTAGGTACTGTCTTGACGACGCAGCCGTCCCCTTGGCGATTCCACGCTTGGCGAACTTCACTAAAGCTATCGAACCGTTCAATCTGCGGCTAATTGTGAGCTCTGGTCTATCTGACCGAGTCATTTCGCTTGAAAGGTTGTCTGAAAGAGTGAGTCTAAATCAGAGCGGTCTACATCTACCTATAGGCCTTCCAACTCCTCAAGCACTTCTGCAAAACACGGCCTCTGTTTGACAACCGGAGCAGTGCATTTCCAATGCAGCAGGTTCAATCCCTCAACCAGAGTCGCATCTTTCTCAGCCAGACTTTCCTCCTCATCAAGCCGTCTCTCCACCAGCCCAAGCAGATCTTCAATCAGGTGCCCAAACGCGAAGACCTCCATCCGTTCTAGCATCTCCGCCTTGTCGTTATCCTTGCGGTAAATGGTCGCGGCGCCAAAGTCTCCAAGCAATGCGTGTCCGCTCTCATCAATCAAGATATTGTGGGCGTACAAATCCCCATGGGCGATTCCCCGTGCGTGCAGGTGTGCTGCTGCGGCAGCGATGCCAAGGAGGATACTCTTGCACTTCTCAATCGAGACAACTGTCTCGAGATGGTACGAGTCGCGCGTGCATGTATCCAACGTTGGCGGCAGTCCAAGATTCGTGTAATGCGGCGGGATGAGCTCCAGCACCAAGCCACGTTTCTCAGGGTGCCCGTGGATCTTGCCAATTGGATCGATGAGATTCGGGTGCTGGCCGGCGGTGATAGTCGCCGCCATCTCATCGGCCGGCGAGCCATCGCTCGTAATCTCTCCTTTGAACAGCTTGATCGCCACTGATCTCGCCTCAGCAGGAGTCCTCCACACGCCCTGGGAGATGATGCCTGATGCTCCCTCGCCGAGCAGACTCTCCACTGACAGATCAGACCACGTGATATCATCCAAGATAGGGTTGTCCTCGGACGAGGGCGCGCAAGGATTACCAGCAAAGGACAGGAACGAGAGCTCGGGCAGCTCAAAGAGCCACTGTGGTAAGGAGGTCAGGTTGTTCGACGACAATCGCAGGAGCCCCAGTTTGCGGCAATGCGACATCTCGTTCGGTAACGCCGTGAGCTGGTTCCCAGCCAGCATGCATTTCTGCAGACGGTGACACTGTCCGATACTCGTCGGCAGCTCGCTGATGCGATTGTTCGTCAGGATCAACCATCTCAGCTTTCTCGGGAGGGCGCCTTCAGGGATGCTCGTCATGTGATTACCCTTGAATGCAATCATCTCCAGAGAGCGGCATTGCGCGAGTTCCTTCGGGAACGTCGTGAAGTTGCAATCGGAGAAGAAGGCGACTTTGAGCTTGTGTAGACGGGAGATTTCCTTGGGCAGGGAAGAGAGGGCGTTGCCGGAGAGGTCGAGGATCTCGAGCGAGGAGTAGAGGGAGAGGATTTCTCGCGGGAAGGTCGTCAGGGAGCTGGAGAGCTTGAGACGTTTGACATCTTTATAATCTCCAGCTTTGAGGCCTTCGAGGGTTTGAGGGGCGGCCATGGCTTTCTAAGCTTGATTGAGGGGTTGTGGATGTGGCCCTCCTTTCACTTACCTACACGTGCTCGGTCATATATTTCCGCTTATGGATCATGTGATATTGAAGCTTATTTGCTTCTCCTTCCACTTCATCCACACCCTGTGTCTTTCCAATCTTGCAAGAGTCAACTCTGTAGATCCATTAAAACATCGGCACCAAGCAGCATGCAAGTCATTGTCAATTGTGTATGAGCCTCTTTGTCTTCTATTATTCAAGTGACGTCAGCCTGAAAATATTTCCTCACTTTTATACTCAATCTCTCATTGATGCATCTTAGTCTCTCTTCACAATTGTTACTCTTGAGCCGAAGAAGTAAATGAGGGCCATACAATTGAACAAGGAGCCGTGTCCTATTTCGCCCCGTTGAGGCAAAGCTCATAATCTCTCTATCAACGAACGCTGGGATCCTAAGTACGTCGTACATTTGTAAGATCCCTACAGTTCTCGCTGAAATAGGTTCTAACTTCGCTAAAGGAGAAAAACAAGTCTTGAAAACAGACAAGAGTGATCGTCTGAGCCCATATTCACCACATTAACACGTGGGCGGTAGGATCACACGCTATTAAGGGGTTAACTAGTGCCATGGAAAGGGAGAATGCGTTCTCAGTACCATTTATTCGTATGCTACATTCTCGGCGGTGTTTCATCAGATCCGGCTTCCTGCCGTGCGAGCGACGCGGGTTGCCACTACGGGCGTTTCACCAGAAGGTCGATCTTGAAAGGAAGAGTGTTACCCCACAGCTCCAATTAGTTTGCAGTCGAATAACATGTCCCGATCATGCCAGAGTTACAAGACTACGTGCCGAGGGGATTGGCGAAGAGAAATAGAGCTGGGAATAGCGTCAAGCCGACGGAACGAGCGATGATATAGATAGACTTAGCACCTTGAGAGGACCAAAGGTCGGGATACAGAGGGATTACGAATACCTGCGAGGCTACGAAGTGAGTGGTTATGGGAAGAGTCTCCGCTCAAGAGTACCAAGTCACTGATTTGAAACATCCATCTAGTCGAATCTACTGCCGAGTCAGAGGTTCGAGGAGTAGAAACCTCCCCAGACTCTCGCGTTCTGGTTGAAGGGATGTATCACGCATACCCTTATAGTCCAAGAGAATCTGAAGTCCAGCGGAATCTCCCGCAACTTGTTGACATTCCCACCATCGGGCTCGCTTATTTTCAGTGAGCCTCGAAGCGGGAAAACGGTGGCTTGACGCTCGCACTATTCCTTTGCTTCCGGCTACTGTACTAACTTCCTACCAGCATAGTATTTTTCCTATCATGACTAAATATATATATGAATGACAGATGAAGGCTCATTCCGCTGTGTGATGGAAACAGACTGATTAGTCCGATCCTCCACGCGGACTGTTCGTATCAGTCATACCGCTAACTGGGTCGGACTTAGCAGGCGTCAGGAAAGTAATCGTGCATTCTGGATATATCAATAATTGAGGAAGATTGGGATTTTCATTCGTGGTTTATTCCCCTGATGATGTTGACAGCGCAGCTATCAAAACCTTTTCTGTTTCTTTTTTCTTCTTATTTTTTTCCTTTTTTCCCCTCCCCCCCCCAATTTTTTTTTTTAAAGACCGTTCATGAAATATCCTCCGCAGTGTCTGCATATTGGCACGCCAGCTCTTCTCGCGGCCAATTCTCAGATTGCAAATCGTGAATATGTTCCTATCGTCGAGTATTGATCATTGCTGTATGCTATGTTCCAGACAGAGATACTGACTATGAAAATCATATAGTGAACAGCTTCGGGTCGTCAAAGACATAGCTCAACCATGCCAAATTCTGATTAATTCCATCCATACTTAATTTCCTTCACCGTGTAGTGTCAACTACTTTTCCAAAATTTTGAATACCAAACTCCTTTTTTTTGACCCCCAGTTCTCCCTCCAACAGTAAATCATGGCTCATAATGACAGTACTGCCGAGAGTGAAACTTGAAATATTCCTTATCCAGCGAGAGCAGCTTTAAGTCCACTTGCCAAGTAAGCTCATCAGTGCCAGTCCAGCGACCAGGCTTGCACCTCCGACGATGCCCCTGACCAATCCAGCATTTGCCAAATCGCCATACATCCAGTCACTACCAGGATGTCAGCTCGCATTTATTGCTTGTAAATTGAGGCTCAAGTTTGACCTCCCACATCCGAAACTCAAAAGTAACCACAGGCGATAAGGGGAAAGAAAGAGCAGAAGATAGACTTACTGCGCAAGCATCTCCACCAGTCCGACCCAAAGAAGAATCCCTGCGCTAAGCGCATTCAACGTTCCAATCGTGACAATAGTGGTCGGATCGTTCCCGTTGAATGTTTCTAGAACACCAGCACCAATTGCCATCCCGATTGGCGTGATCACTGCGAACGCGCCAGCCATGATGATCTTGGTGAGTAACGAGATGCTGGATTTGAGAGCTGCAATGCGGATGCCGAGGGCGAGACCTTCGAACATTTGGTGAAAGAGAATTACAACGAAGAGGGTATTGTAGGCGGAGTTGGGCGTGACGTTGAGGTTTATGCCAATTACTGTAGTCAGGAAGATTAGAACGATGGTCGGCGTAGAGAAGGCGAGGGGAAGGAAAGGAACGTACAGATAGAGTGGAACATAACACCTGCTTCCATGACCGCGACACTGAAATGAGTATCTGGATGTAGGCCAATCGGATGAGCATGCCCTAAAGCAGCAATTGACGTATTTGATGTTCTCGGCACAGTAGGGTTAGTATCTTTCGGCGAGGTAGATAGTTGTTCTTCCGAGTCGACAGAAGCAGACTCGGCCTGGTTTCGTCGCGCAACGAATCGGTTTCCAATATACTCGACTGCGAATGAGAGAAAGATTCCACCCATAGCAATGGCTGCAGCTGTGGCGTGATATACTAGTTCTCCGAGGCACTCATTATCGAACTGCATTTGGGCATGCGTGAGGAGCTACAGCTGTCAGCGTGGTTTTCTCGCTACGGAATTGGAGAACATACATGGACCAATGCGGTAGCGATGATGACACCAGTTCCGAACTGCTTCAGGATAGTGAATATAGTGCTTTTGAGAGTCATCTTGCTGAATCTCTCGAGCAGCACCGGAGCAAAGACAGCTGATTAAGATCAGTCATGGCCAAGAAAGGTGGTACGTTAGAGTTACCAAAGCCACTCGTAGCGAATATAACAAAGATCAAGCCAATGCGGAGGCTCATATTGTAATCTTGGTCAATGGGCTCGCATGTCATAGCTCCTTCTCCTCCTCCAGAACAATGCCTACAAGAAATTAGCTGTGCCTGATAGCCAAGGGTCTACGAGACATACAATACATTGCCGTGGTAGTCACAGTTCTCGGTTGATTCAGCCGCTTGACCAGTGGATTCGTCGGTATGTGCATCGGCCGGTTCGCCGGCGTGTTCACCAGCGGGTTCGCCGGCGTGCTCATCGGTATGGCCCGCGGCCGCTGCCGCGACCGGTACTTCACTCCCATCCGGGGCATGACAGTAGCTGGGCCATGTTTAGCCACGCTCCAAAAGTTTGTTGACACTTGACCCACATTTCACCACTACCATCGTCGTGGCAGTCACTATAGGACTCCGGAAGCGGGTCGATGGCTGGAGTCTGGAGAATTTCATATTCAGTCCCATCAGGTCCGATGCAGTATCTACACTGCTGTCAGTCTCGGCCGGCTCGGGTAGCAATTAAAGATATTTCAACACATACTGAACACTCCCAGTCAGATGACAGCCATTCACAGATCCTGGGATCGTGGCTGGTGTAGGGCTAGAAGAAGGTGTGGCTGCTGCAGAAGTTTGTGCAAGTGCGCCACTGATGACTCCGGCAAGGAACAAGAGGGTGATGGTGCGTATGGCCATAGTGACATCAGGTGACATCAGGTGATGCAATGTCATATCAGGTGATATCATGTGATATCAGGTGACTGATGGTGATGTGGGTCCCGATCAGGGTTCCCGTGATCCAATAAATACTACTTGTACGTACCGTACTTCTTCCTCATTTGAAGGTCCGAGTGCAGCTTCAGATACCTTATAGTCCGAATCCCACAAGACCAAGGTTTCGATGACATGACTTTGCTGGGTACCTTGATGACTTTTCGTCTCCGTATTTATTTTTTTGTCTGGAAATATGCTCGCCAAGTAGATGCGAGTAAGCTGAATGAAATCATTTCTTAGTCTCGGCAGTAAGATCTTTTGGCTATCAAACGCAGTTTGGTTTTGGAAGGGCGAAGATCAATTGGGTCGAGGACGTCGAAGAAGGTCGACATGCCCACCGGGGGCCAAGCGCCGAGAGAATTCCAATGCTTGAGTAGCCATCAAGGTCCCTACATGTCACCAGCAATCCACCGATAATCGGAGCCTTCGAGATATATAACGCGCAGATATTAAGTAGTACCACCTATATTACGAGTTGACCCCCCCACGTTGGCCCACGTTGGCCCACGTTGGGGGCCTTCCCTAAAAGTGGGCGAAAAAAAAGAGGTCCCGCGTCAAACCCTGTTCAGAACCACCAAAATCAAGCGAAAATTTGATAAAAATCCCGACTTTAATCGCGTGCATCGCATCGGATATCAAAGCTATAATGATGAAATTTATAGAGCAAAATTGAGTTGTTCGTAAAGTACGAAGCACTGATGTATCAGATTCTTATATTTCGATCTACGTTGGTAAGCTGAGAATTAAAGGAAACATAGGTTTTGTAGAGCTTTTTTTTCCCCCGATTTCTTCCGATTTTGACGATGCGAATTAGGAAAAGGTCAATATTTCTACAGTACCAAAATCGACGCATATTGAAATCCAAATAAAATAATAACCAATTATCTCTTCGTGAGTCCGGTTCCAAGCCCCACTTTGCGTAGTAGGGTGACAAGGATCGTCAGCCTCCTCTGGAACACGTGCTGTGCGTCAAGTCATAATTGACCACGTCAAAACCTCGATATAATCGCGAATAGCTTTAAACAATTTCTTGCAAGGTCTCCCCGTCTCTATCCATTACATCGTGTTATTTAAGAAATAATGTGTAAGAGATCGTGGTGGTGATTGACATACCGGTAGGTAGAAAATCTCGTTAGGAGCTCAATGCGTACTCTTTATTATTAATGCGAGTGACCACACGGATAAGGTTTGAAGAGAATCTGATAAGGATTCAAGATAATCTGATAAGGATGTGAATTTTAATAATTTGACATGCCTAAATCCTTGTCCCGTTTCTTTTCCGAAGCCAAGAGGCTCTGTGCACTGCGCTACACCAACTGGACTCTCGGAGAGATTTTAAGATATTGAAAACTTGAATTAGGAAATCGCATAATCGTATGTTGATAAGATGTCTGGTTTTTTTTGGGAGGGGAGGATTTTTTTTGTCTTTTCTCTCTCTCTTTTTTTTTTCTCCCTTTTCTATTCTTCCTTTTTTCCCCTTTTTCCCCCCTATTTTTCTCTCTCATATCCCCCCCTTTTTTTAAAAAAAAAGAAAGTCTTTAGTATGTTGTAAGAAATACCGAGAAAAGTAATGATTGCTATTCGCAGCGGGACATCCTTTTTCGCCCACTTCAGGGAAGGGCCCCGAAAATGGCGAGGTCAACTCCCACTATTAACTCAACAGTAAGAATTCCTTCTTCTTTCTCTTCTCCTTCTGTGTGCATCATTCCCGCTCGCGGCTGAACGAGGGTATCTGGGAAATTGGCTTGCAGGATTTTTACATCGATCGAAGGAATCACATCGCTGCTGGGTGCGGGATATCTTTCCGGTGACGATTCCGGTCCAAGCCCTGGAGGATGGCAAGTGGAGAGCCGTGTATAATATATAAACCGCAGGGCGAGTCCCTCATGGGCCACTCTGGTCACCCCCATCAGCACTTCCTCTCTGAAGATCATCATCATCGTCCAACTCCATCAAGCCTTCACCATGTTGTTCAACTCTCAAGTCCTTCTCGCTTACATTTCGCTGGTCACTGCTCTGCCTTTGACATCAGCGCGAGCCCTCGAGTCCCGACAACAGGTAGCCTGGACATGGAATGAAGGAGCAACGCCCGAAATCAGCATACACGTCTCCTGCAACGCCACCGAGCGGGCCCAGCTCCAGCGTGCCCTGAATGAGACCATGACCTTGGCTCAGCATGCCAAAGACCACATCATGCGATTTGGGAACTCGTCCCACATCTACGTGAAGTACTTCGGCCACGACAGTACGACAGCCGAGCCCGCCGGGTGGTATGACAAGATAGTCGACGGCGACAAGACTGGCGTTGTTTTCCGCTGCGATGATGTTGATAACAAGTGCTCGAACGATGGTCGGTCTTCCCTCCAAGGGCCCAGGCCACCGAGCTAATGAGTGAACAGGCTGGGCTGGCCATTGGAGAGGCGAGATCTCGCCTGGCGAGACGGTCATCTGCCCGTTATCTTTCGAATCCAGATGGCCGTTAGAAACTCTGTGTGGACACGGCTACACAGTGGCTGAGGGGAATGACGAACATTACTTCGGCGCGGACCTCATGCATCGTCTTTACCACACCCCTAAGATCAGCGAGGGTGTTGTTGAAGAATATGTCGAAAGTAAGCCATACTCGTTTGCAAGCACTGGTTGCCGTACTAACAAATTCGTATAGCCCAAGCCGAACTCCTGCAGCTTGCCATCGACAGCCCGGAGCTGGCTGTACGGAATAGCGTGACACTTCGCCACTTCGCTGTCGAGGCCTACGCCTACGACATTGCGGTTCCGGGTCAAGGATGTCCAGGAACTCTCCCAGAGTCACCTGAAACCATACCAACCGATACAAGCAGCTCAGCTGATCCATCTCCCACCGATGCGAGCGCCGCCTACACGCCAGACACTCAAACATCGACCGCAGCAGATGAAGCTACTCCTGCAAGCGAAAAATGCCTCACGCTTGCTGATGGAGTCGAGCTCTGCGTCTAGACGAGAATCGAAGTAGTTTGGGGGTGGGTCATGACCGAACAAATAGACGATACATCATCCTATGAGACACAAGGGTGTAGAGAGATATTCTAATTGATAGTTTTAAATAATGTCAAGCAATATTACCCATATGATTTTGCCCAACCGGTACCGTATCCTTAATAAACGATTGCCTCATATTCAGATTGTCCACATACGTTGTACTTGGCCAGATGCGGATACTTCTCTCTCCACGGTGACTCCTTCAATCTGAGATCCATATAGCAACAGAGACTTGCGGCAGCAACATCAGCTTGGCCAACCTTCCTGCCAACGATGAACCCATCCAAATGTTATTTAATGATGTTGGTGAAAATTGAGGTTGAACTAAGGCTCGCCGCATCGGCCGAGCCGAGGGAACGTGCCTACTCCGTATTTAAAGCCCGGGAGGGATCTTCGTGCCAAGGACACGAAAAGTTAAGTCGTGTCAGGAGAACGCGGGAGGCCGACAGAGGTCCTTAACGACGTCTAGAGATTCCGTGAACATCAAGCCCCCCAGCCCTTCAACCGCCGACGACACGAGATCCTTCAACCGTCGACGACACGAGATACCTGAGAAGAACCCGTCTGCGATTGTCTCTGCTTTTGCTCCAGCTCGCCCGCTGCCGCATGCAAACACCTAATTCCTCCGTACGGCCCTCCCCGGTATCAATAGACCAATGTCCCCGCGATGGACCTCTTCTCCTACATAAAGAGCATTTACGATCTGGATACGATCGATACTCGCTTCACCAGCTCATCCTCGACCCCCTACAAGACTGTAATAGAGTCCCGTTCCCATCCCGACTATAAGGTGAAGCGCGACCATTCTGTGCCTGGAATCGGGGTCAGGACCGATCATAGTGGCAGACCAATCGCCCAACCCTCGAAATGGAATACCCCTGAATTCTACTTCTATTACTTTGTGTTTATAACCATTGTTCCATGCATGTTCTGGGTGGCATACGATGTATCGCGACGTAGGTGCTGCGAGGCTCTAGCGGAGTCAATGTTGACTTGGTGCAGCGTCCCACCCAAATTACCACAAGTTCGAGGAATTGCTGAGTGAAGGCTGGGTACCAGGGCGAAAGATTGTATGTGGGATGTCTCGCAGAGACTAATGTCTCCGTTTCTAACGCCGGGTAGGATGTGTCTGATGATCAATACCACTCGTTCCGTACGAATGTACCATATCTCGCTGTCCTCCTCGTCTGTCATCCACTGCTTCGAAAACTTTACAATGCATTCTACCCGGTGCCCACTCCACATGGCTCCCCAAAGCCCAATGGAGTCTCGACATACATTTCTGTTGCAGCTGGAGAGGCTCGGAAGGAGCAGAGGGCTTCCTTCGACTTTGGATTTGCATTGATATTTTTGGCTGCTTTGCATGGATTCTCCGCGCCGAAGGTCCTGGCGATTCTATCGGCCAATTATGCCCTGGCCACCAATTTGCCCCGGACCTACGTCCCCTACGCCACATGGATCTTCAATGTTGGGATCCTCTTTGCGAACGAACTGTGCGCCGGGTACAAGTTCTCGGCATTTGCTGCATGGCTCTCTTCTGTAGAGGGTGAACAAGCAGCAGGTGCCGTACACGCTTGGGGCCAGTGGCTTGACGATTACGGTGGTGTCATCCCAAGATGGGAAATCTTGTTCAATTTGACAGTTCTGCGATTGATCAGTTTCAACATGGATTACTATTGGAGCCAGGAGAGAAGAAGTTTGAGCCCTAATGAAGTTGGTGCAACCTTACCCTAACCTTCTTGGATATCGCTAATGCTCATAAGAAGAAACAACTTGACCCTGCCAACCTCTCCGAAAGAGACCGTATTTCTATACCCGCATCAGAGAGAGACTTCTCATTCCGCAATTACATCGCCTACGCCATCTACGCCCCCCTCTATCTCACCGGTCCCATCATAACGTTCAACGACTTTGTCTCACAACTGAAGTACCCCCCGGCCAGCATCGAATTGCCCCGTACCATAAAATACGGCATCCGCTTCCTTCTCTGTCTCCTCGCCATGGAGCTTCTCCTTCATTTCGACTATTGCGTCGCCATCTCAAAAGGAGACCCCGTCTGGTCAGACTACACACCCGCCCAGCTCTCCCTCCTCTCCTACTTCAACCTGCACGTCCTCTGGCTCAAGCTCCTCCTTCCCTGGCGCTTCTTTCGCCTCTGGTCCCTGGTAGATGGCATTGACCCGCCAGAAAACATGCTCCGGTGCCTCTCGGACAACCCGTCAACCGTCGCATTTTGGCGCGGCTGGCATCGCTCCTACAACCGCTGGCTGGTGCGCTACATCTATCTCCCTATGGGTGGTGTCTCCGGCCGCACGTGGAAAACAACAATCATGTCCATCGTCAACTATGCATTTGTCTTTACTTTTGTCGCTCTATGGCACGACATCAGCTTGAACCTGCTGGTTTGGGGATGGCTGGTGGTATTATTCATGATGCCAGAGGTGATTTTAGGCATGATTTTTCCGAGGAGGAGGTGGGAGAATAATTTGACGGCATATAGGGTACTCTGTGGGTTCGGGGTTGTGGGAAACTTGATGATGATGATGATGGCTAATCTGGTCGGGTTCGCGGTGGGTGTTGATGGGCTAAAGAGTATCATTGCAGGCATTTTTAGGGATTTTTCTGGTATGTGCCCGAGGTCCCACATTTCGATTGTGTCGCGGACACTCGTTGCGAGAAGGGGAAATGGAAGGCTAACGATCAACAGGTATCGCCTTCTTGGCCACAGCCACCTGTGTGCTGTTCGTAGGTATCCAGGTCATGTTTGAAGTGAGAGAGAGCGAAATGCGGAAAGGCATCTTTTTGAAGTGCTAAGAAATGGCATCTGGTGTGTCAACATGAAGTAGATTACGACGAATAATAAATTCACGTGAAACTTATCGCAACCTGCCTTCGTCGCCTAACAGAGATATGTCGCTCGAGGATTGGATTCCAATCGCCTGGGAGCTGCAGCTGGAAATCGTAGTGAAAGTTCCTTCCAAATAGAAGGTTGAGGCCTGCAGTTTCTAGTTCATTGTTTTGAAGGGCGAAGACGAGGTGAGGCGGATAAGCGAGTTGTTGCGGTTCTAAGAGCGGTGCGTTTGTGATTGAGAGAGAGAGGAGGGGTGGGAGCTGGTATGCAGATTTGATGTGAGGGAAAGGAGGTGGGAGCGACGATCGTAGGTCTTCTCTTTGGTGGTGGCTTTTTGAGGACAGGATGATTGCCAAAGAGCCGTCCCAGCTCAGGGGTACAACCAGCTTACAAGCGAAGCAGGTGCACTTCATTTCCAACTGCTCCTGGGTTTAACAGAGGCGTGTTCAGTAATCAGAGGCTCGTCCCGCATAGCTGCGCCGAAGACAAAATTCCGTGGTCGAAGGGAATCATTGCCATCCGCTCAACAATCCGTCCTCAAGGTTCATCTCACAGCTTAGCATTCAACCCCTCAATAGCCTTTGCAAACGCAGCGCCATTGGGCTTCCGGCCAAGATACTCCTCCAAAAGTTCCATCTCCGGCCGACTTCCGCCACGGTTAAGAATCACCTTTCTATATTTGCGGCCTTCTTCTCCGTCCATAGGGTTGCTCGCAAACTTCGTCTGGTATAGGTCACTTGAGTATACCGAAGAACTGTGAGAGGTTGATTGTCAGTATTGCACACCTTTGCAAGCCAAGAAGGACACTCACATAACATAGGTATAGTAGCCAGCATCGTATCCTCCAAACATGTGAGAGAATCGACTGTGTCCGAAACCCCAGCGATATCCTTCGGGGCCAAGCTCCGGGCCGTAAAGCCCTGTGATCTCCCTCCGGAGCCGGTTATATGTCTCGCCTGGATCCAGAGTCTTCGCCTCATCGCTGGACACAGAGTGAACCGCCATGTCGAAACTCGCGAACGAGAGTTGTCGTTGTGTCAGTGGGGCAAGGGTGACTTTGTTCGTCGCTGTAAGCTTCTTCAGCAGCTCCAGGGGTGCCTTCTCGGGTGGCTCCTGCTCCGTAGGATTCTCGCACTTCCAAGTCTTCATGTACTCTGGTGACAGGTGAGAATAGTGTCTTGATAATCTTTGAAGAATCACGGGATCCCAGCAGAAATTCTCGAGCATGCGGCTGGGTAACTCGACGAAATCTTTCGCAACTCTGGTGCCGGATGTCTCTGCGAAGCGAGTCCGGCCTACCAAAGCGTGGATGCCATGACCCAATTCATGGAACATGGTTACGATGACCTTATGTCTGACGAGTGTTGGTTTGGAGAGGGTGGGCTGCTGGACTGACATGACTAGAGTCGTGCTAGGGTAGTGTCGCTGGCCATCGACTTTCTCAAATCCCTACTTCGCATCAGCATCATTCTCGTGGAGCAGCTCCAATCTCTTACGTTCTGGAACGTGATGTTGCATGCATGGTCCCTCTTCCCCTCTCTTTTGAGCAAATCGAGATACAGATAGCCCAGAAATCCACCACCCGCCGCATCTTCATCCCAGACCGAGTATGCGCCGACATCTTTGTGCCAAGTCATATCTGATGCTTGTTGACCTTGCTTCTCCATCAGTGTCGTCCTGGACTCGTTAGTCAACTCGACGAACACTATACCAAAAAGCGTCTCAAAGTTCTCCAGCAGCCCTCGGACAGTGTCCTTTAGAGTGAAGTACTCGGCAATCTTGGACTGGTCTAAGTTCTCCCCTTTCTGCTCCATCAAATTCATGTAGAATAGCTGATCCCAAAGGTACAGACGATCGTCGAGCTCAGCTTCTGGGAACCCACGGGATACCAAATGCTCTCGTTTGAGTTTTCGTAAGTCTTCTCTGCTCGACTCTGAAGCTGGTGCCGTCTTCTCCCGCAGGTCATCAAGAAGGACCTTGACCGATTTGGCAGTCATCAGCCGGTTCTGGATCATGACGTCGGCATGGGATTTGAATCCCAACAGCTCTGCCTTCTCAGCTCTCAGCTCGACCATCTCCTTGAACAAAGCTACATTTTCCGGACACTTGTTCTCGTGCCCCATGAACATGCGCTTCCTCGTCTCCGACCTCACACAATTCTTGAAGCACAAATCTAGATCTACTGTCCCGAATGACAACTTAAACTTCCCTTCATTACTACCTTGGCCCCTTTCCAATGCTTCCAACGCATCTTTAGGGAATCCTTCCAGCTCCTCAGCAGTCAGCCACACCCCACCATTCTCCATACGGATTCTCTTACTACCCTCTGCCTCAATATCATCAATCCTCTTCGCCACAGCCTGAAACCTCTCCTTCACCTCCCCCTCCTTGAGCGCTGCACCGCTTCTCTCCAGCCCCGAAATCCTCCTATCCAAATAATGCGCGCACTCATCATCCAACACCTCCGCTTTCTCCCTCACCGCCTTAAACAGCGCATAGACCTCAGGCCGGGCAACCACTTCCAGGCTGTACTGAGACCACATCTTCACGCACTCAATCGATGCATCGCGCAGCTCAGATGAAGGGTGCACAGATCTAAAGAGTGCAGTGAGGGAGCTGGCTCTCGCGCGCTGGTTGCGGTCGTGGATCCACGGGCGCACGAAATTGGCAAATGTCGCGTCTCCAGGTGGAATGGCGACAAGTGCATCGAGTGTCGAACGGGAGCGGGCAATGGCGGCTTGGGCGATTTTTATCAGGTCGGATGGGGTTTGGGTGAAGGCTATGGGTAGTTGAGGGGGCTCTCGGAAGGTGGAGGTAGGCATTTTTTGATCTTTTGATTTTTTTTTGGTGTTTGGGGTGATGAAAATTGTCGGTCAGATGTGTGGTGTGGGAAATAATTAAGAATACGGATACGAAGGAGAATTTGAGGTTGGTAGGATTTTTTGGGGGGGTATGGATTGATAGATCTTGTGAGTTGGTAGGTTTAGCTCGCTATTTCAGGCGTTTGATGCGTGCGTTGCTGAGATGGCAATCAATGCATGTCGTTTAAATATGAGGCAGCGGTATCGCTCGCTTGCGGAGTATGCACTACTACTACTGATCCACTCGCCGCCCCTATTTTTATCTTCGCCTATGGCAGGCATGTCAGTTAATCAAATAATAGATACCTTCCATTCTTTCTGCGTAAACAACTCTAGCGTGCGGGCGAAAACTGGATATGAAAAAACTGCCTAGCAAAGTTGTCATTTGCAGATTTTAAGCGTGAATACGAAGTATGAATATCATTGAATTAAGCTAAGCCCTGCTTACCGGTGGACGGGCCCTTTTTTTTTTGTAAGGAAATGGAATGTCTAATAAGTTTTATAGCGTCTTGTTATTTTTTTGAAAGAAAACACCTCAAGTATAATCAAAAACTTTTACTGTCAACGTCACATCAAAATTGGCTTTTCTATAAGACATCCTAAAACAGTTTCTATATTTTTTTTTCTTATTTTCAAGATCAAGCCAGCGTAGTCAATAAAAGATCTCGCTTAATTATCCCCCCCACCCCCACCCGCCTTCTATTCCAAGTATACAAATATTCCCCCGCCTATTTCCATGAAATTCTCATCTCTCTAGTTTAGTCGATCAAAGTCGTACCTTTTATCCCCAGCTAGCTATTCTATTCTAGACTAATCCTGCAAGCTTTACTTACACCCATCAAGTCCTTGAGTTATACCGGTATGTCCGCATTGGCTGGCTCGCTAGGCTTGAGCGGAATACGGAGAGGAGATACAACATATCGGTTATATATTATTCCTTATCAGCGGGGTCTAACCCAGACTTTGCGAGTTGACAGCCTCAAATTCAAGCAATCATAGGTATCAATTGTCTGGAGATAAATATCGGAGCCCTTACAGAGACAAGGAGAGTCTGGCGGAGGAGAATTGTGCAGTTTTTTTTATGATTGTAATTGTTTTGTAAGGGAAGAGGATTGATGTGAAAAAACGATAGGGAATAATACCGGTACCCCACCGCTGTGTACTGCAGAATGCCTTCCGTACGAGCAAAGCCCAATCATCACGTGTAGATAAGAGACAACGCTCTAATTACGATATCGAGACAGACAAGAATTCAACTACGATGTGTCTTGACTTTGGACATCCACTCGGGCTTGACGATGAATGGAAGAGGCTTCGTGAAGAAGCTACTCCGGCAGCCACCCTCGACCTCTGCCAACGAACACGCCGACTCGACTGCGCCCGAGTCCGCGCGACTTCGACCCAGCGCATCGCAACATACCGTCTTCTCTGCAGGCGCTCCCATTACATGCCTTGCCCGGTCTCCAGATGGATCGCGGGTTGTTGTAGCTGGCGCGAAGATCTTTAAGGTCCTGAAGGTCGAGGGCGCAACGGTCACGGAGGAGCTTGATCTGCGGGCAATCATTGTTGCTTATGCGGCCAGCCACGATCCCTCGGCTGCGACGCCCGAGCAGCTCAACATTCGAGACGTCCAGTGGTCATATGGTGATCTGGACACATACATCATTACGGCGTGTGGGAATGGACGGATTACCGTGTACGATCTTAATCGGGTGCATGAAGGTCTCGAGGTGGCGCGCATACAGGAACATACCCGACAGGTTCATAAACTCGACATTAGCCCGTTCAGGAGCCATTGGCTGCTATCTGCAAGTCAAGATGGTACTGTCCGGAGTTTTGATCTAAAACAGATCCTCCAGGGACGGTCAGGTCCGATGGTCAAGCCATGGAAGGTTTTCAAATGTAATGCGGATGCCGTGCGCGATGTGAAATGGTCACCGACAGACGGAACGGAGTTCGCATGCTGTACCGATGCTGGTGTTATCCAGAAGTGGGATTTCCGGGATTATCAGAGAGCGACGGCTCCAGTGCTGAAACTAACAGCTCACACGAGCGCATGTTCTTCAATATCTTGGCATCCTGACGGTGAGACTCTGATCAGTGGTGGTGTCGACCAGCTGTGTCATGTATGGGACCTGTCGAAGAAGGCTGAGAGGAACCAGAAGCCGAAATTCACTTTCGCCACGCCTGCGCCAATCTCCCGCGTCACCTGGCGGCCGGCCTGCTGGTCTGCTACTGCTCAGGGCAGAAGAGCGGCACAGGTGACGATTGCATATGATGACTTTAACTCGGGGCGGTTCCAGACGTCAAGCGTTCATGTTTGGGATCTTGCTAGAAGTACGTTACCGTTCAAGGAGATTGAGGAATGGGACAGCGCGCCAACTGGCCTCGTCTGGAATACTCGGGATCTTCTGTGGAGTGTAGATAAGGATGGCCATTTCATACAGACCGACGTTGCCTTTGTGCCGCAACTTATCGACCGCCGAGGTCTCTCAACATTTGCTTTCGCCCCAACGGGATTTCTTATGATGTTTATGGAAGAGCGACAAGCTCCACCCCGCCCTCGGCCTTCTATCGCATCGCCGGATTCATCTCCTGGATTCGATCATACAGGCAGTGGACCACTGTTGAGCGTCAGCCGAAGCGACTCCGAAGAAGACGTTGTAGGTAGCTTTTTAGGTCCCAGAAAGGGAAAAGGCCATCGGAGAAGGCACAGTGGACGAGGACAATCGTTGAGCGTAACTCCACCAACGAGTACAGGACTGGCGGACAGAAAAATCATGTCTCTGGAAGACGCTGTGAGGATTACTGGAGTATACGAACCGATCCAAGTCAAGGCCTATGGTCGTTTACCAGAACCCATCATGAAGGCCAGGCCCCCGATCTATCAGTTTATTAGCAATTGCTACTTGCAACTGCTAGACAAAAGCTTGTTCCCTGATCTGCACGCGCGGCCAATGGATTTCCGTGTGCCCAAGATCATCAAGTGCTATGCTGAGTATGCAGAGGGTGTTGGCCAGTTTCGCTTAGCTCAGTCTTGGCGGGTACTTGCCTTCCTCATGCACCGTCTTCTTACCGATCGAGCAGAATATCATCGACAAGAGAGACTGACAGCTAAGATGCAACTGTCTGGCGATCAGCAGGCAGAAACATTCCCAAGCGAGTCGATAGCACAAACAGACCGGGGAGACCGAGGACAGGACACACCCAGAAGATCACCACGGCAGCAGCTCCCTCAAGAGGGTCCCTTGCACAGGCACGGAATCTCTATCATCCATGAAGACCTCGAGAGTACCTCGAATGTCGCCACACCTTTGGCTCGTCCCGTGCGCGACCACAGTGTGGACCAGACGAGACCGACGAGGCATGTTTCAAGCAAAGTTGATGACGATGAGCTGAAGCTCCCCGAAGCTGCTCATCCCCCCATACCAAGCCCAATTCCTGCTGCTTCTACAAGAATATCGCCCAATCATTCGTCATCTAGCATGGAAGGCTACGACTTCTACGGCGCTGAACAACCCTTATCTGCAACTGACTACGTTGCTCCTCCTAGGAAGGTACCTCTGCGTCTGGATTACCATCAGCAGACGCAAGAACGCCCTAGAATTCAACCGCAGCGTCACGACTCGGAGGAAAGTTTTCAGATGTTTTCGACTTCCTGCGACTCTCACGCAAGTAAATTCCTGGGCTCATCAGACAGTGATGTGCAAAGCGTCAACAAGGGAGATGGTCGAGACCTCCGGGAGCGGATGTCGACTTGGGAAAATCGCCGTGATTCAAATCTGAGACATCACCCAAGTCTTGATTCCGATGTTGTCGCCGAAGGAAGTTCTCCAGGCCATCTCACTCCAGGATCGCAGGATATCAGACGAGGTACCAGAAGCGATCTTACATATAATCCAGCCGAGCCACCGTTATTTCGGCTACACGAAGCTTCAGCCCCAAAAGTTGACGAAACCACACCTGTCAAGAACCAGTATCAAGGCGAAGATGTTCCAATCAGTCCTATCATATCCAAGCCCCCATCTGCGAGACGTTCCGAGGACCCTAACATCATCGAGAGTGATTTCTACCCTTGGCTCGGAGACCCACTTTTCCTCATCGGGCCCATGGATCCCAACCACATAGTTCCAAGCTTCCTCGAATTCGAGCTCCAAACCGGTGTTCTAAACGCAGCAGCCATAGTCCTCCTCCTCCGTCCGCTCCTCGTCCCTGATGCCATCGACAGCATCCAAGCCGAGGCAATCATGCGACAATACCACCACCGACTTATGAGCATGAAACTCTTCCAAGAAGCAGCCATGCTCCGCAACCTGTGCGTGCCCCTCTACCCGTCCGTCTTCTCGCTCGCACAAGAGAACGTCACGCTGGGATTCTTCTGCACGGACTGCGACAAGCCGGTGGAAAACGACCCGTTGATCGCAGGCTCGATGTGGAAGTGTCCCCGCTGCAGGAAGTACATGGACCCATGCCCCATCTGCCTCTCTCGCGCGGCTCCCGCCGACGACGACTCCGAACGCGGGGAGGCTGTTTCCCAAGGCGCGTTCTCTGCCATCAGCAACTGGTGGTACTGTCCCGGCTGCGGCCACGGCGGACACGGTATCTGCATGAGCGCCTGGCACGCCGACGAGGGGACCGCGCGCTCTGGCGGCTGTTGTCCCGTAGAGGGATGCCTGCATCCCTGTCTGCCGGGCGAGTGGAGGGAGACTCGCGCGGCGGAGAAGCGAGCCGCCAAGGCGAAGGAGATGGATCTGGCCGTGAGGGAGAATGCCTGGCAGAGCAGGGGTGGTGCGGCGGGGAGCCGAGGGGCCGGCATGGTGATCCGGAGGGATGGGATCGAGGCTAAGCAGAGTGAGGCTGTGGAAGGCGTGAGGGTTGCCTTGGGGGCCTTGGGCTTGGAGAGGAAGAAGAGTGCTAGGCTGCTTGTGCCGAGGGAGGATGCCAATCCGGATAGGGAGCGGGAGCGAGAGCGAGAGCGAGAGCGAGAGAGGGGGGCGGATAGTGCTAAGTAAGGCGTGATGGGCGTATGCATATACACATATACGGGAATCGGATGTATGGCGTTGGTTATATGGGACGATACCCAATGCAGCAGCATAGCATAGCATAGCATAGCATAGCATGTATCTATGTATGGCGTTTTTGAATTTTTAGCGTATATATACTACAACAATGATATGAATGAATAGTTGGTTCACGCGCACAACCACGCTCTGCTCTGGAGCGTAAGGGGACATTTTTTCTCGCATTTCTCGTATATCTCATTCAATCGGATCAAGCATATAGCTACCTAGCTACTTAGCTACCTACACCATCATCCATCTCCTTCTCCGCCTCTCAGTCTCAGAATTTCCGCTTCTTTTTCACCGGCGCCTTCGCCTTCGCCTCCAACTCCTTCTTCAGCTCCTCCCTCCTCCGATCCGCCCTCTCGGTACTCGTCTCCCGCACCACGGGCTCCGGCGTCGGCGTCTTCGTCCTCACGTCCTTCAAGTCCTTCAGCAGCACCCTCCTCCCGCTCTCCTCCTGACTGTCGACCTCCAGCTTCGCCTCGGGGCTCTTGTCGGCCCGCCTACGCCCAGCACCAATAGTGCCCAGTTTGCGCTTCTTCGGCGTCGCAGCAGCACTGGCTTCAGCCGGTGGCTCTGGGGATGGCGAAGCGGCTTTCCTGTTGCGGCCTATCTGGCCTAGTTTTCCTCTCTTGGGTTTCGGTTCGGAGGAGGGGGGAGCTGGTGGTGGGGTGGTGGTGCTGTGGTCATGGTCATGGGGGAGGGTGTCGGCTGAGGATTCCGGTTCTGGTTCGGGGGATGGCTTAGGGGGAGGGGACGCGGCTGCTTTCCTGGCGCCTATTCTACCGAGGGGCACCTTTTTGGCGCGGTGAGGCACAGCTTCGGGGGCTGGAGCGGGAGATGGAGATGGGGAAGCGGTTTTTTGTTTCTCCCTGGGAGGGGAGGACTCGTCGGCTGTTGTTTCATCTTCGCCATTTGCTGGTGGGGATGGAGAGGGCGGGAGATCTGCCTTCTTTTTGCCTACCATGCCGAGTTTTCCCTTTGTAGGGTTAGGAGAGAGAAGTGGTTGAGAGCGAGGGAAGCTATCTGGAATCTTGGAGCGCTGGGATGAGGTAACTAGGCCGTCGTCCTCTGATTCCGTGGCTTCATCTTCTTCGGTTGATTCGCGTATACTCGAAGAAGTTGGCATTGATGCCAAAGCGAGGCCTGGGGCTGTTGACTGGACCTGGATGGCATCATCTTTGTTCTCATCTTCGGCTATTTTTGGAGGCAGAGTTGGCTTGGCTATGCGTTTCTTGGATTTGGCTCCATTGGTCGTGCATCTTCCTGTATTCAGATTGACGGTCATCCCCTTGATGCCTTCCCACCATTCATCGTCTTCCTCCTGAGTGGTGCTGTTTCCAATGGGGGCAACGTCCATTCGCTCCTTGAAGACCTCGCTTATCAATTGGGCTGCATCTTCCAGAGGCTCATGATTCAGCTCTCGCCGCCAAGATTCCACGTCAAAAGGAGCCAACGCCTTGACCTTCTCTTCCGCCTTCTGGCGTGAAACCTTCCGGCCTACTCCGCCTGCAGCCTGGGGCCATATCTGACCAAGTTCGGTATGCTGCTCCTCCAGCTTATCTAGCAGCTTCAAGATGATATGGTCCTTGTCTTTCAGCTCCTGTGTCAGACTCGCAACCTGCTGCATATTCGCATGACGTGTCTGTAATGATGGGATTGTAAACAGACTGGTCATTGAGGACTGCGGCGCTGCAGACAGTCGCATGGGCCACTCTAACGGCGCGATGTCACCCGGGAGATCTACCGAGACGTTCAGGATCAACGAGGGTCGGTCCGCATCGGCATTGACCGTCAGAGCTAATGCTGTGCCTTCTCCCCCTTCCAGCCCAAGCTTTATCTTCTCGAGCAAAATCTTGAATTGGCCATCGTCCCCAAGCACGATGCTTGTGTCCTCCTCCTTACTGCGTCGAGAAATCGCTGACCGGTCGAGGGCTTCGGTCCAGATATACGTGAGGTCGGTCAGATGGACGGCGAATGAGGAGGGGGTGAAGGACGTCGAGATAAGGAACGCCGGCAGTTCCGCGCTGGCATTCGCGCAGATCCGGAGGGGTCGCCAGTCCATGCTGCTCGCCTTCTGTATATTTGGTGGGCGAGGAGATGGCGTTGCGCGGCGAGGCTATCGATAACTGTGCGCGGAGTTGGATCCGGGGGCGGAAGAGGAGAAGGGCGCGGACCGCTACAGGTGCGACGTATCAGCGCATGTCAGCATGTTCTTGCATGCTGTGGCCGATGCGCTAAGTATGCGTTGGTGAGCGCCAGTGTGTTGTGGCATTGCATGTAGGTATGTTGTGGTCGATGAAGCAGGCAGCCGTGATGTTGCAGCCTCGCGCGCGAAGTGCAACGTTATGGTCACGTGAGTCAGTGGCTATCTCTTTGGTGGTAGACATTACTAGACCGGTGTCCCGTATGGTCTGTTACTTCGACCGGTTTTCATACTGCTGCTATTGATATATTCTATTCGTGGCAGCTGGGGACAATCATTTGATGTGGCCAGAGTCCAGGCCCGAAGCGAGAGAAGTCGGTTAATTCAGGGGTGGATGAAAACAAAGATTCAGAATAGCGATTTCGCTTCTTGCGATCTTCTAGCCCGAAACGCAGAATTCGTGAACAGGGCAATAGAATTTCCAATGATTCTATAGTGTGGACGGTGTGGAATGCCTTTGCGATGTAAATGCTGTTTAAAGAGCAAACTTCATGTCGATTTCTGTGTTGTGGGTCGTGAATTGAGTGGGGTCGACCTCGCTTGATCGCTCCTTCCCCTTACCGCCCCTTGCTCGTGATGCTTCAGACACGGAACTCCCGACTCACTCTTCGTTTCATCCAGAGTTCCCACCCCAAAGATATATTATTAGTACCGTGCCCATCCATCTACTCCCGTCTTTCCCTATCGTCCCCCTTGATCTCCCACCCAATCTCCTTCATCCACCACATCACCACCTTCTTCTACCGACATTTCGACCTCGTCGTTTTGTTCTCTCTCTCTCTCTCTCCTCACTCTTCCACCATCACATTACCACCGTCTACATATAGCCTCATCTCCCCCACCCCGAGCGTCTCACATCTTCAATCCTCTACAGCACATCCTAGAGCTCCTCCCAACCTCCCATCTCTTGCCCGTAGAGAGCAATCTGAGGCTCGGCATCTGGACAACGCCTGACTCCACAGACCAAGACACGGAGAGCAGGCGCACTGGTAAGGTCGAGACGCTGCAGGCTTTCCCGAGCCACTCCCCTGACCTGTCGGCATCGAAGAGGCATGGCATGTGGTGGGAGGCTAGAGGGTGGAAGGCATGTGGATAGAGCCGGTGAGGCTATGTTTTGGGAGAGGCAAGAGTGAATTGTGCTTGATATCTTTGGGGGAGGGGGGGGGCGTTGGGAAGCTGACCTCTGATGCTGAGGTATCAACGTCGCCACTGACTCCACCCGTGCTATCCTCATTCCGTAGACGGCTCATGCTACCACACCCGAGACCAGAGATCCAGACAGTGCGAAATCCGAGTCTGGTTAGCCATCCCGAATTCTTGTCCAAAAACTTCTCTGATCAGGGCATGGTTTGTGCCTCTCCTGCGCGCCCATTGCCATGGCCATGATACTAACACGGCAATATTTGCTTGTCATGCTATAGCTACACGTCAACTAGATCCCGATCGTCTTTCATTACTGTTGCTTTTCGCCCTCTAGTCTTTGTATCAACGATCGTTTGAATATCTCGTTTGCATTTACTCATTACATCTCGTCTGCATCTGCTTATTATAGCTGCATTACACCAGGTCGCGCTTGCAGTTTATAGCATTCAGTTAAAGCCCTTCGATTCATCGACGCACTTAACATCCAACAATGATTCATCCACATTAAGACAGTAAGCATCATTACTTCCTTTACCGCTCACGACGTCAATATTCGAAGCAGCAATGTTGCTGCACGCGTCTTTGCTTGAGCAAGCAAAGGCCGCGATCTGTGGCTGATATTTGCTCGTTGTTGTGCCCTTGAAATTCTTGAAGACGATATTGGTGATCTTCAGCGGCGATGGGTTCTTGAGGCAGATTGACAGGTCCTTCTGGCCGTAGCACTGTGTCAACTCAATGGCATAGTCCACCTGGTCGACTATCATGGTGTCGAAAGTGATGTTGTTCACTCTGCCATCACCTCCGCCTCCCTGCAAATCCCCACTGAGCGCCGATGGGGAGTTGGGCCAGACCTTGATTCGAGCACCATTCTGTACTCCATTAGTGGGTGCAGGAAGCTATGAGCATCGTGTACTTACCGTCGCGTCGCGCATCGACGTGTTGTAGACATACACATTCTCCACTACGTCGTACTCTCCCACATATTGTCCAAGCGATCCCACACTCATTCCGTGCGAGCCTATGCAGTTCATGTTCTGCACTAATATGTTGGTGCAGTTTGGCTTGAATGATACACAATCTGAGAGGTTAGTACAGCCTCGCCCGCAGTGGGAATAGTCTTACCATCTCCGTTGTTGACATGCGAGTTCTGGATGGTGATATCCGAACTTCGATACGTGTCCCACCCGTCCGTGTTCTTGGCTTTGTTCTCATTTTTGCTGCCTCCCGCGATGTCTATGTTATCAAAGACCACGTTCTTCGAATTCGCCACGAAGAAGTAGTACTGGGGGGAGTATCTCAGCACCAGGTCGCTAATAATGGAGTCTTTAAGTCCGTCAATGCCGAAAAGCACCGGTCGGAGCGTGTAGATGTCTTCGGCGTACGCATCATACCATACTTGGCCGTTTCCGTCCAGAGTTCCACCGCCGTAGATGTTGACAGAGCTGCCTCCGAGTTTGAAGAAGGATGTCACGTTCTGGAAGATGAACCGGAACGAGTTTTCCTGCCAGTACTTGGTGTCTTTGGTGAACTGGATGGAGGATTGAATGTCTGCATTGTTTGTTTAGCCGAGGGAGGGAGTTGATGGCATCGTGCGCTCTTACCGATATCAATGTCGTTCAAGAAGGTCAAGTCCAAGGCGGTACCAATGGTGTACTTGGTTCCCTCTTGGAACACAACATGCCCGCCATTGTTGCAGTCATGCAATGCGCTCATGACGTAAGTCGAATCGTCTGTCATACCGTCGTTGTGTGACTCTACATAGCAGACCTTCTCTCGGACTGGAAATGATGGGGGCGTCGCAAAAGGTGACATAGGATCGTAAGAGATCTCTGGCCTAGGAGAAACATTCCCAGAACCTTGGTTTCCCTTAGAGCCCTCGGAGCTCTTAGAGCCCTCAGAGCTCTTCGAGCCATCAGAGGTCTTATAGAGTTTAGGGACATCAGAGCTCTTAGAGCCCTCGGAGCTCTTAGAGACTTTAGGGACGTCAGAGCTCTTAGAGCCCCCAGAGCTCTTCGAGCCCTTGGAGCTCTTGTGGCTCTTCGAGCTCTTGTGGTTCTTCGAGCTCTTGTGGTTCTTGGATGACTTCGAAGAAGGAGTAGCGATGCACAGTGTGACGAACACAATAAGTAGGAGTAGCTGTAAACGCATCTTGAAAAAAATTTGGGGCCCAAAAAGTATTGAGAATTGAGAAGAGTGAAGGAGAAGAAGAAGAAGCTGATTTACCAAAAATTATTCACAGGGAAATCGCCTGAGCTTTATCCCGATTTTCACATCATCTCCAGATGCAATTATTACTCCGTCATGTCGCACCCTGGTCTTTGGTTTTTCCGGGCTGTCACAGGTATAGTCGTGGAGAGAGGCTACAAACGGTCGTTGGGACGAACCATCCGTATTTGTTGGAATATAGGCTTTCGCCCCTACCCCTACCCTAGGATCAGACAGGCTGCTTGGCTGCTCCCACAGTAGACGGAGAGCTCCCGGCGCTCACCCAGGCACTGACTGCACTAGAACCCAACACCTTCCGACTATTTTATCCGATCACTACGGTACTGTACTGCCTAAATGTCCCAGATTATCGGGGCGAACCTGAGACGAATTTCCGCCCACAAAGTACAAAGTGAGCCGGTCTGGTATCAAGGCTAAGCAAAAAAGTGGTGCAAGCGGCCTGCTTTCCGTATGGTACTACTACCTACTACCTACTACAGTAAGGAGAGGAGGCCTGGGGCCCTCAACTTTCAAGGTCCTCCTCCCCTCGAAGCTTTAGGGAAGCTCTCGTACCCCGCGTCAAGAGTCCCGTCTGAAGCTTGACATTTGCTTTGCGGTCATTCGCGGAGAAGAAAGAATTCGTTTCAGGTACGCGAGAGCTTATCCTGGGAAAAAAGCAATTGTCGTCCGTGAAACGGCATTATGACCTCATTGGTGGGAGGGTTCCCGTCCAAAATCCGTTCCGGACGTTGACGTCGGGGTCCTTATAGTAGGAATCCCTTGAAACAGAAAATGAGTTGACGGTACCGGTAGATGCGAGCGAGCGGCCTTCCCCCTTCCCCCNNCNCNCTCTCTCTCT